GTCTTCGTTGATGGACACGTCGGCAGAGCTCGACTCAAACAATTCGCGGTTCACTATACAGATGACCGGCTCTTTGGGCTTCTCGTTGATCACGATTAACACCCATATAAGTGCTGCTAATTGACCGCATAATGACACTGCAATTCAAAGGCAAACAATTCAAATCAATGTAACCAAACATTTGGATATACAGTACAGTATAGATATGCAATAAATCAAATCTAAAATATCATAAAATAATAATAAAATATTCCACATATTATTACAAAACACTGATAATGGCATTGAATTTGGGAATGATATGAAATTTTGTGAGTCTAACCGTATGATTAATAATTAATTATATTTTTCAGAATACATGATAAAAAACATGATTAGTAACTATTGATTACTTTTACCGGTAATTATTATTCAAAACAATGAGTTAACAGTTATAAAGATATGAAAATATATGTAAATATCTAACCGATAAATACGGCGATATAATGATAGAGTTGTTGATCGCTTTTATTGTTGCCGTCGCCGAGAATCTGTCCGCCGACAAACGACCCGAACGGCTGAGCTGTTCAGTCAATTAAATCAAATCACAATTTAAATGATAGCAAAACTTCACCAAAAGCTAAGACTTACGCAACCAAAAGCACACCTCCAGACACGCGAAACGTATAGCTCTTGTCCTTTGATCGCTATTTGCGGAACAGTAGGCATATGTGGACATCAGTGTCGCCACAACACCGCCAAACAGTGCCGACGGCAGGAATGAAAACAGAGACAGGTATACGTCTGGACAGGCAATAAATACACTGTTAATTGTGACCATAAATATAAAATTATAAGTGAATGAATGACATACCGGTGTCAAAGGCGACCGCATTGATGATCAACGCCATGGATTCGAGTATAGCGCCAATACATCCGAACAACATGATAATTTTGCGGCCGTGAATGTATTTATCACTCCACGAGCCGATGAACAGCGACCATACGGTGCAGGGAATGGTCGATATGATCATCCGGTAAAGCGTGAGATACCCGGAATCGGTGAGTATCTGACTCTTGATGGGATCGGCGCTGTGATCAAACTCTGGCGAATTGATTTCGATGCAGTACTGCGGGGACATGTCGTACGTGAAGCGACACAGTTTGTCTTGGATCAGCTGCGAGATCGACAGCGACGACAACGAGAATGAGAACATGTAGAGGAAGAGGAAGGGCTCCACTTTCAGCTCTTTGAACACCTCTTTCCACTTATAGCCGTTCGTCGACATTGTCTCCGAGTTTCGGGGATCAGCTCTTATGGTATCACAAGTAGTAAACTGACCGCCAGTTTATAAGTACAACAATTGAGGCAAAGTTTTCAAACAAAACTCATTTCATATGTTCAACAGTTGAGTCTCTCAGACAATGCTTACAAATGCGATGATTAAGACTTTTGTGTAATTTCTTATCACAAAACAGTGTAATAATAGTCTCGCTTAACGTTTATCTCCAATACATATCTGCATTGTATGTGTCATTCAATTGCAAACAAAACAAATAAACGGTTTAATAGACTAATTAATAATTGATTTATAATTAATTAATAACTGCTGTCATCGACGATGTGCTAAAACAACTCATTAACAAAACACTTGTCTATAGACTAAAGGCATTTGAATGGTATGTCAGCTGTGATTGCGATACACATGTAATTCACTATTCATTTGATCACTCAATCAATACATAAAGATATAGGCATTGAATGAATGAATGAATTGAAAGCAATTAACGCTTCAATTAATCAAAATCTGGACTTAGGTTTGGAGTGAAGGCCACACCGATTGTCGCTCACCACCAACTGATCCGCCACTTCTTCGCGCCAATCACTCACTGATTGTATGCTTTTTGCGAAACAATTAAACCATTTTTAATGATCGCTATAAACGTATTGATTGAATGCATTTAAATGACAGCAAAAACAGTCAATACTCGCTGTCGTTAAGCATATGCGACGAGAAATGCATCAAAAGTGAAATGTTTTGTTTTCATTACACAATACAATGCTTTGGAAATCGGTTGCCAACACATAGAGTGCGTCCGCTTATAGACCACAGGGTTTACGCTATCACTCAATGTTAAGAGATGTCAGGTTTGATACAAAGGGCACAATTAGTCGACACATTTAAATGCCGTTATTTGTTGTGTAATATAAAGGCATTTAAAACCATTGGCTGTTCAACAATAATAGAGTTGTTAATCACGTGTTTGATTGTAATGTAAACAAGTGTTGAGGAGTGGATTGACTGATTGATTAAGTGATCATTGGATGGACTGAAGTGATGAGCGATGAGTCGTCGGATCAAATCAACACCAGTGGAGCGCTTCTTCAAATACATTGGTCTGTTTGTGGGCATCGGAACCATATATGGCCTACACTTTTACAGCAATCCTCCGGAACTGTTCCGGAAGAGACAGTACCGACAGGCCATCGACACGGGAAACATGGTGTTCACCAATCGGGGCATTAATCCGCACATATGGGGCGAACCCAAACAGGACGGACCCTTCACTCCACCCCGTCCTTAGACATCACATTCACATCCCATTTGTATTGCCAACTGTTGGCCCGAAATTGTATTTTCATTTTGTTAATCATTAAGTTATTAAATAAATAAAGTTTAGCCCAATATGTATTTTGTGTGCAATTAATGCAATATTTTATTGATTAGAAATTCATTCAAGACATGATGTAATTGAGAGTAAATCGACAATACATTGAATACATTTATTTAATGATTAAATCAGTGACTGACTCGTGAGATCTAAATCCAGTCAAACTAATCCATATTTTGCTCACCAATAGTATAGAGAAAAGTGTGTGATTATAGTGAATAGTAATTGTATATAATTAAAAGGTTTGTATAATTCAATTATAGCAATACATTTAGTATATCATATGATTTAAAATGAACAAAAAGTTTAAAAACGTGTGAAATAATTAAAAAATAGTAAAAGAGTCACTTTTTATCGCAAAACATCAACAAATTGGGACTCAAATGAATGAATGATTTAAAACAAAAAAAAACAATTATAAAAAAGTGATTTCAAAAGTAAATTCAATGAATGTGTAAAATGATAGCATTCACTCATTTGGGTGCAAACCGGCCCCTTCCGCGTCCGACACCAGTAGTCTTAGGAATGGCTCCCGTAGTGCTCGGATCGGGTGTCTGTTCCTCAGTGGTGTCCGGTTCCCACTCTTGATCATCAGTTTCGGCCGTTTCGTGATATCTATGGGCGGGCAATGGTCTCACCTCCTGAAACGACTGAACATATGTCTCCTGAACCACATTACGTTTGGAGGGGAAGTGTTTATCAGTGGGCGTCACCTCAAACATGGGACACAACGCCTCCGATAGCATATAACACAGCTGTTTGGCCAACCCTTGAGCGCAATGCCTGCAATCCAGTTCTTCGTGGTAATCACACAAAGTGTTCATCGCGTAGTCGTACATCGAAGACCTCAATTTATCTATCAATTCAAAGCAAACAATTTATTTATATACAAATTAAAAGCCAATTATAGTGCAGACATACCCTCAGCGAGTGCCGGTGGGATCGGTTTTTGGGCATTCACTGATATAACGTTGAGAAGTGCCACCAAATCAAGCACTTCTATATCCCACTCGAAATTAGTGCTATTGTTAGCGTTGTATTTGTTTCGCAACCACTCAAACACCCCCTTATTCTGGGGGATGGCGTCGTCGCGACAGAACACCATCATTGGAGTCGGCTTTCCGTTCATCGAGTTTGTAAACCGCGACTCTTCCAGAATCTGTTTGATGTCCTCCACTATCTTCTCGTAGTTGTTCACAGCCTGCGGGAAGCCATCCAATGGGATCTTATGAAAGTCTTGCATATGTGATTTGGCCGCATTCATGTAACCTAATGGATAGATAATCGGGTCATTAGCCATACATACATAACTTATTACACAAAAAATCAGTGAAGCATTACAAACCTGTGGGCACTCCTCCGGCGTCAATAAACTCGTGGTAAACAAATTGAATGCCTTTCGCGATAGAGTACTGACAGATACTGATCTCGAGCGGCGGGATCTCATTCATGTTAATCTTACACATGACATTTGTGGCCACAATGAAGAACGAGGTGTTCATAATCTGTTCCCGTGTTTCGCACGCCTTTACGCAGCACTCAATCATTTTGAGATAATACTCGGCGTCGTCTTCCATGTCGTCCAACTGATCCGACTCTCGGCTCAGAATTTTGCCGTAATTTTGTTGATTTTCGTGGTATTTCTTCGGCGATATCTGCACCGGAGTGTTGGACTTCTGGGACCGCTGTTCATACGGCGCCCTCTCCTCCTTCGACATACCTATCAATCGTAATCAAAATAACGTCACATGTCTGTCATGTCTGGTCATAACGGATCCGATGAGTGACACTTACACCAGAGATGTTTCGCTCGCTAGGCCTACCCCTAGCAGTATAAACAGGGGATGTATTCAAATAATAGTGTTATTAAATAAATAAAGTTTAGCCCAATATGTATTTTGTGTGCAATTAATGCAATATTTTATTGATTAGAAATTCATTCAAGACATTGTAATTGAGATTACAATACATTGAATACATTTATTTAATGATTGGATCTGTGACTGAGATCTAAATCCAGTTAAACTGATCCATATTTTGCTCACCAATACTAGAGAAAAGTGTGTGATTATAGTGAACAGTAATTGTATATAATGGTAAAGGGTTTGTATAATTCAATTACAGCAATACATTTAGTATATCATATCATATGATTTAAAATGAACAAAAAAGTTTGAAACGTGTGAAATTTTAAAAAAAAAGTAAAAGAGTCCACTTTTTATCGCAAAACATCAACAAATTAGGACTCAAATGAATGAATGATTTAAAACAAAAAAAAACAATTATAAAAAAGTGATTTCAAAAGTAAATTCAATGAATGTGTAAAATGATAGCATTCACTCATTTGGGTGCAAAGCGACCCCTTCCGCGTCCAACGCCAGTTCTCTTAGGAATGGCTCCCGTAGTGCTCGGATCGGGTGTCTGTTCCTCAGTGGTGTCCGGTTCCCACTCTTGATCATCAGTTTCGGCCGTTTCGTGATATCTATGGGCGGGCAATGGTCTCACCTCTTGAAGCGACTGAACATATGTCTCCTGAACCACATTACGTTTGGAAGGGAAGTGTTTATCAGTGGGCGTCACCTCAAACATGGGACACAACGCCTCCGATAGCATATAACACAGCCGTTTGGCTAACCCTTGAGCGCAATGCCTGCAATCCAGTTCTTCGTGGTAATCACACAACGTGTTCATCGCGTAGTCGTACGCCGAAGAATTCAATTTATCTATCAATTCAAAACAAACAATTTATATACAAATTATAAGCCAATTATAGTGCAGACATACCCTCAGCGAGTGCCGGTGGGATGGGTTTTTGGGCCGTCACTGATATAATGTTAAGAAGTGCCACCAAATCAAGCACTTCTATATCCCACTCAAAATTAGTGCTATTGTTAGCGTTGTATTTGTTTCGCAACCACTCAAACACCCCCTTATTCTGTGGGATAGCGTCGTCGCGACAGAACACCATCATTGGTGTCGGCTTTCCGTTCATAGAGTTTGTGAACCGCGACTCTTCCAGAATCTGTTTGATGTCCTCCACTATCTTCTCGTAGTTGTTGACAGCCGGCAGGAAGTCCTCCAATGGGATCTTATGGAAGGCTTGCATATGTGATTTGGCCAAATGCATGAAACCTAATGGACAAACAATCGGGTCATTAGTTATGTACATAACTTATGACACAAAAAAGCGGTCAATCGTTACAAACCTAAGGGCACTCTTCCGGCGTCAATGAACTCGTGGTAAACAAATTGAATGCCTTTCGCGATAGAGTACTGACAGATACTGATCTCGAGCGGCGGGAACTCATTGTTGTTAGCCTTACACATGACATTTGTACCCACAATGAAGAACGAGGCGTTCATAATCTGTTCCCGTGTTTCGCACGCCTTTACGCAGCACTCAATCATTTTGAGATAATACTCGGCGTCGTCCTCCTCGTCGTCCAACTGATCCGACTCTCGGCTCAGAATTTTGCCGTAATTTTGTTGGTTTTCGTGGTATTTCTTCGGCGATATCTCCACCTGAGTGTTGGACTTCTGTGACCGCTGTTCATACGGCGCCCTCTCCTCCTTCGACATACCTATCAATCAAAATACACATCACATGTCTGTCATGTCTGGTCATAACGGATCCGATGGATGACATCCACACATACCCTTCCATTTGTCGCCGGCTATGCCTTGCAGTTCCGGGCTATTGAGGCCCAGATTCTTGCCCTCGCGTTTCAGCTGATTCTGGGTGTGAATCAAGAACTGGAAGAATCCATTCCTGCCCTTCGGTTTACCCATCGATGAGATAATCGGTTAAAACAATTGACAAATCAATTAAAAATATGGCTTAAAATCGGTGTTAAAAACAGTGGATAAAAATGTGGCAAAACTTGCGTTCAATGACTGAATGAATGACTGAAACAATGAATGAAACGAAACGAAATGCAACGATAGGTCTGTTTATAATGTGATGCAATTTCTCGACACATATTTGACTGACTCTACCGTTGATGTCGTGTCACTCGAGACGCGCTATCATTGCTGTTGAATACGCTTTTGGCTGCGCTTACGATATCTCGACAGCAGTTGTGTTCACAAATGACGTCCTGATTAAATGACTCACACTTTGAGATTCGGTACCATTTTATATATCGCGAGTATTTGTGTGCAAAGCGTATGTCTATAAGCGATAAAAGGGTCTAAAAGTGAATAAAATACGTTTAGTTTACGGTTAGGAAACAAATAGGAGTTTATTTTTAAGTTTGAATTTTTGTGATGAAAAACAATAAACAAAACAATGATTGCATTCATTGTGTGTTTGCTTTGAATTGCGTTCACTTTTAAACACTTTAACTATTGATTAGATTTGCGATTCAAATGACGTTTTAATTGAATACAAATCGCAAACAAATGGTTTACGAAATCGTATTGTTTTAGTGCTTTCAAGACATGACATGACATCGCAATCGCTGTCCTATTTTTCATACGATTTTTGCCATCAATTTGTGAATTGAATCTAAAAATTAATATAAATTTCTAATTAAATGAATAATAATAAAGAGATTAATATAAAGAGCGAAAAGATGTCCGAAGAAGAGGCAGAGGAAGGCCTTACGACTGGAACCGTTGGCCAATCGATTGATGTGAGCGATGGCGGGGCCAACAGTCCATTGGCCACCGATTTGGCCGCCGATCGCTATATCGACGACAAAATCCGTGTGTTTTTCATCGAAACGAAGACATTTAAGTCGAGCTCTCAGTCGGCGCCGAGTATTGGCCGCCAACCGAAGGCAATGCAAATGGCGTTCACTTCAATGAAAACCTATAAATTCGACGCCAATTGGATCAAAGAGGAAGAGGTTGTGCTGAACCCGTGGGCCAACGGCTTCCGGAACTGTCTCTTCATCAGCGACTCGTTTGACGGCAAAGCCTTTGAGTACTTGCGGTCGAAAAAGGCCCGAATCATTAGTCCGCTCGTCATTCTCTACTGCTATTCCTCTGAGTGTCTCAATCGCTTCAAATCCATTCCCGATAAGCCGTACCCACTGTTCAGCCAATGTATGCGCAAACTCTTTGTCTCCATCTCCGGCTTCGAAGGCCACCGAAAGCGGGAACTGATCGGCAGAATCGAGAAAATGGGCGGCAATTACTCGCGAGACTACACGAAACGTGTGTCACATCTGGTGTCCGATTCCGTGCGTACGAAGAAGTATCGAGTGGCCAAACAGTGCGGTTCGGCCGTAGTGTCCAGCCATTGGGTCGACGACTGTTGGAATATATATCAACACAATTACAGCGGCGCCGGCGAAGAGCCCATTGTCGACAAGTATCGGCTCAAACTGTTCAACAAACTATTGATTACCGTTTCGCAGGTATTGTTTGATTTGATTGTTGTATTTCCTATTGTGAAAGACATTAACTGATCCATTGGTCCGACGTTTAGGTGGATTTGCCGGAGAGGAACCAAATCACGGACATTGTGAACAACAACGGAGGCGTTTACAGCCCGAGCCTCAAACTCAATGCAAACAATTGCTTACTTCTACTGAAGGAGCCGTCGGGAGAGAAGTATAAATACGCCAAAATGAAACACATCCCGTGTCTGGACGTCCAGTGGCTCTACGACTCGGTGGCCAAAGGGTTCACACAATGCGAAGACAATTACGTGATTGGCTCCAAGTGTCAGTCGTCGGCCCAAAAGTCAGCCCAACGGACGCCCAATACTTCAAAACAATTGCATAAATTAGACTCAAATATATTGAATCACACGTTTGAGAGCCGATCCGATACCATCACCACAACCATCACTTCAGTCCCAAATACAGACAACATTTGCCTCTCCGGTGACGCAAACACCGAAGACATCGCCAAACGAATCGATGGTTTGAGTACATATCGGACGAGTGACGAGCCATTCCTCGAGGGTTGCGATGTGTTTGTCGTCGGATTCAAGAGACCGGACTTTGAAGTGATTAAATCGGCGCTCATATCGAGCGGATCCATGGTTTACAACGACTTCAAAGACATGATCACTCACGTGATTGTCGGACCAAATGTGGACGAGTCCGAGATTCACGACATGTGCGACAACAAGTCCTGCAAATTAGTGACTATCGAGTGGCTCTTCCAATGTCTGAAGCAAAACGAGTGCTACGATTGTACGCAATACGAGATTAAGAGACCGAAGAGTGACATCAGATCCAACGGCTCGCAGAATAAGCGCCGAAAGACTGAACACATGTTTGACGGCCCGTTGACTGTGGTCTCGACTCAAGCCATGAAAAGGGGTTCCGCACACGAGAAGAGCAGTAAATTCAACTCAAAGTACAATCATTTGTCAATAGGCGTGGGATTGGGTTTGAATGACCCGATGGACGTCCAATGGGACGACTCCTCATCTCAATGAAGAGATAAACATTTAGTATATTTATTATATAATCTATTAATGAATTTAGGCTTTAAATTGTATTAGTCTTATAACACATAACGTTTTTATTGTTCATTTCACCGGTATATCAAATGTTTCACTGTTTCATAATGTATTTTCACTTTGTTTTTTCTATTATTTAATAGTTTCTAATTTTGGCACAAATTTATCTAATTATCTTTTATTAAAAAATGTTTAATACTATTTTTTATGATGTTTTAATCGGGAAAACTGTATAAAAACTTATTTAATTAAATTCAAGTTTATTTAAAAGACAAAACAATTTATAATTATATGTTGCGTTCAGATTGAGTGCAAATCCTTATTACAATTATTGGTTTTTGTGTTGACTTTCCCCTAATTTTTTCCCGACTTTAATTAGTCCTTCGTTTCAATTAAAAATACACATAAAAACACTTTTTCTAATCAAAGCGTTAAATAACTTCATTATTGAGGGAAACCATAAGAACAACACATTTCTCATTGAAAATCGTGATTGAAATACAGAAATAAATCATTTTTACGGTAATAATAGATAAAATGATGTTTAAAAAGTTATATTTACGTTAATAATAGACATTCACACCCAATATTGTAGACTATAATTATTTT